CCATACCCAAAACACTGCCGCCCGTTCAGCAGAGGGAGAGAGACGAGAGAGAAAGAGAACAGCAGCAGAAAAGACCGAGACGACGAGCAGAGAGAGCAGACGAGAGCTAGCGAGAGAAGAGAAAGATAGCAGAGACGAGACGACCGAGCACGAGAGAGAGAACGAAGAGAGAGAGAGAGAGAAGAGAGAGAGCGAGCAGAGAGAAGAGACGCAGAAGAGAGCGAGAGAGGCGAGACCAGAGCCGAAGAGCGTGAGAGTGAACAGAGACAGAGATGAGAGAGGAGAGAGCGTGAGAAAAGAGACGACAGAGCCGAGTGCGAGAAAAAGAAGAAAGAGACGCAAAGAGCGACGATAGAGAGAAGAGAAGAAAGAGCCGAGATACGAGAGAGCAGAGAAAGCGACGATACAGAGAAAGCAGAGAGCGTGAGAGAATGAGAGAGAGAGGAGCAGAGAGAGCCAGATGAGAGAGGCGAGAGAGAGAGCGCAAGAGAGAGCGAGAGAGAGAGAGAGAGAGACGAGAAGAGAGACGAGAGAGAGAGACGAGAGAGAGAGAGAGCAGCGAGAGAGAGCAGAGAGAGACAGAAGAGAGCAGAGAAGGACGAGAGAGAGAGAAGAGAGAGAGAGAGAGAGAGAGAGAGGGAGAGAGAGAGAGAGACGAGAGAGAGAGCAGAGGAGAGCGAGAGGAGAGAGAGAGAGAGACGAGCAGAGAGAGACGAGAGAGAGAGACGAGAGAGAGCAGAGACGAGAGAGAGAGAGGAGGAGAGAGAGAGAGAGAGAGAGAGAGAAGAGACGAGAGAGAGAGAGAGACAGACGAGAGAGAGAGAGAGACGAGAAGAGAGAGAGAGAGAGAGAGACGAAAGAGAGAAGAGAGAGAGAGAGGAGAAGAGAGAGAGAGAGAGAGAGAGAGAGAGAGAGAGAGAGGCTCACCGTTTTCAGAAAACACTGGCTTCGTGATGAGATAGTCTATGATCTCCGGCCGCTTCTGGAATAAGCACTGAAACAAGAGAACACCTCAGATTGGACAAAGAGCCCATGTTTCTACTATGTTAACTCGGGTTTCCCAGCAGCGGCCAGCGATGGTAGAAAATTATGAAACATTGCTCTAAAAAGCTGCTTGTCCGGCGGAAAAGCTACCGGACAGATCTACTTGTCCTCCGTGGAAATGGACAAGTACGGACAAATGGATAGTCCTTATTTCGAACACTGGGATGGTATCAGGAACCTTCTCGAAGAAATGTTCGTTGGGATCGTTATGAAAGTTGCCACGAGATGGCGCGTACGTTTGAGTGTCTTAAGATTAAAGATGGAAGCTTTTCAATCGCTCCGTCAGATCATGTCCTTAGAAAATGTCTAAAATCTGCCCTGTGCCCCTTTGACCTTTGACCTGTGACCTCCAATTTCGGCACAGTGATGGCTTTACCTACCATGATGCTATACACCGACTATCACGAGCCTAGGTCGAGCCGTTTAGATTTGTGCCGCAATTCTGCATTTCCTCCCTATACCTTAAGTTAAGGAGGGAATGTTCTCCCTTCTTTTACACCTCTTGACCTTTGACCTTTGACCCCCAGCTTTGACATCCCAACTCGTTTTCGGATTACCCCCCCCCCCCCGCGTCCCAACTTTCGAATCCGTACGTCGAGCCGTAAACGGTATTACATAATAAAATTATCTAGTATTACATCATCGCCTAATGTATTAAACATGTACATGCAGGGGTAGAAATTAACTTTTGAACACGGGAGTCCGCAGCAAAGTGAGGGAGTCCGCAAGTCTGAGATCCAAAATTAAAGAAATTTACAATAACGCATGTGCTTGCACGTCTATCAAATTTTCTTTGGATATTAGCTGAAAAAATACGGTATTTCCACGAGGCCGTGCTCTGGAACGAACTATGTAGTATGGCAGAATTTTCAGGGAGTCAGACGGACTCCTGCATACGTCAAATCAGGGAGTCCGACAGTAAATCTGGGCGTATTTGACTCCGGACTCCCGTACTCCGGATTTCGCACCCTGTACATGAAACGGTGCCCTTGAAAATGTACACGTTGCTGACCAGTTACCAAACTATAGATGAATACAGAACCATCAACAGAATGCTTTAAGTACTGTTAAACACACATCAGACATGATGTACAGCACCTGTGGAACTGTGTCTGTGTGTGAATGCACGTGGTTCGCGATAGCTGCGGAAGAATTTGGGAAGGAATGCTTTCCTTATCAACAGTAGCCGTAATTACAAGTTTTACCCGAGAACGCCCACGCTGTATTTGTTATTCAGATTCTTCTAGGAAAAGTGAAACATTACGTATAAACTCGTAAAAATGTAAGAAAGGGCTAAATGTGAGTCTCACCATACAGTTCATTGCAAAATGGTTGTGCTCATCTTGCAATTCTTTGGCAACCTGGTACGAATCGCCCACCTCCGTGTAGTTGACTAGAAACAGTTCCCTATTATGTGCTATCCACTCAAACATCTGGAAGACATAGACCTTGACACCTTACAAGCAAGTACAGTACACAGCTCTATAAACTCGCCTCTATTACATCAGGAGCGTATAATGACAAACTGATTACATGCATATTTCTGCCATTATTCTTCTCGGACGGTTCAAAAGTGTAACATTTTAGGCGAATTGAAGTGGATGTTTACGCGTATGCCATATGCCGTTACTGCTAAAAAGCAAGAAATACATCAATAAATCTCCTTGCTAACACCCAAGCTAAGCGAACACAGAAAACATTTGACAGAGTAAATATCACAGACCTGTCATCGCACTGCTTACATTAACTCAATTCTGATAAACGACTGTCATCACATCGCAATTTTCTACATGCAGCACCCTCAACGCCGACAGATGTTTTCCATCCGGGAAGGAGGCGCATAAAAATGTGCGACCGAAAATAAACTCGAGCGGCGCGCATCCCGTCGAGAATTGCCACGGCAACGAGCCCCGGCAGACGCACCTTCTCAGCATCCTGCTCGAAGAGCCTCAGTTGAAAACACTGGTCGAGCTTCAGCTTCTTGATGTGCCACAGGTGGTGCAGCTGCTTGCGAGCCGCGTGGAGATTCTCGATCAGCTGCGACACGTGCGGGATCGCGCTTTGGAAGTCTGCGTTCCCCGACAGCATCGACGACCCTGACCACGTAAAGGAGATTCAGGGGTAGAAATTAACTTTTGAACGAGGGAGTCCAACGGACTCGCTACCCTCAAAAAGAGAAAGTCCGCAGAAAAATGAGGGAGTCTGCAGTCTGAGGTTCAAAATTAAAGATATTAACAATAACGCATGTGCTTATTTTTAAGATTCATGCAGTTGCACGTCTGCCAAATTTTCTTTGGACATTAGCTAAAACAATACAGTAATTCCGCGAGGCCGTGCTCCGGAACGAACTAGTTAGTATGGCAGAATTTTCAGGGAGTCACACGGACTCCTGCATATGTTAAATCAGGAAGTCCAACAGTAAATCAGGGAGTATTTGACTCCGGACTCCCGTTAATTTCGCACCCTGGAGATTGTTAGGAGGTTGCTCGAGATGAACGGTTGCTCAACAACGACGTAGTGGGACGGGGAAGGAATGGAGCGGATACTCAAGAGTAGGAACACTTGCACAACATGGGATTGCATTAAGCATACTCGCAAAATAGAAGTGGAACTAATGAGCGAAATTGCAGCGAGACTTTCATAACAATAACTCTCATGATGTTTTAAATATTAAACATAGTACATAAAATTCCATAGGCTGTTTATTTCTTAATGGATTTGGCTTTGAGCTATAATCTATTTTCTTTTTCTAATGATTAATTAAGTTTTTTTTCACTATGGGGTGGAAGGAAAGCATACATGAAATACAGTGGCACTTCAACTAATAGCTGTATGTATATATATATATA